TTTCTGGATACTACAGATGATTAAATACTCCATGTGCCTTCTCTTTCCCCACTCTCACCTTGCAGCTTTCTGAACTGGCTCCCACCTCAGAAAACTACAGAGAAGAGCACTTTGCTCATAATGGTGCTGGGAAGTGGATAAATTCGAGATCAAGGATAACAAATAAAGGCAAGCTCTGGAATTCAGACCGTGCTGCATTAATGATAAATTCCACGGCACTACCATTCCAATTATAGGTAAATTCTCCTGGCTCTTGAGCTCAGGGAGTGCAGGCACATCCAGCCATCAGCTCCAAGCGCTGCCAGCAGCCCTAAGGCAGCCCCAAAGACATCTAAAGGTGCTCTCTGCATGGTGACTGTCACTTCTTGTCCCCAGGGCTGAGGGCAGACCCCCATCCTTCATGGGAGAGACCCTCTACTGCTCTCAGTTTGGGGGCTTTATGCAGTCCCAAAGAGACATGACTTCTTACAGCAGATCAGCCAATTAATGGATCTCTTTTAAACGGACAGCATTTATTTCACCCCGATAAATATGATACAATAGATTCTGCAGATAGGCCAACTAAGAGAATAAAACGCTCTGCTGTTCAGTTATGCTTTTTCTGAGATTTGCAGATATTATGCGTGTGTGAGGTGAGGAAAAGGGACAGGATGAAAAAAAGAGGGAGAGAACATAGGAAAATAGACATGGTGCACCAAAATGAGAAAGATCCTGTTATTCTTTTCTTTGATCAAACTATTGGCCCCAGAAAAATGGCCAATGTAAATTATATATGCCAAAGTCAACTTCAGCTGCTGTTCTTTCTAGCCATTTGATCTTGTATTTGCCAGCTTTTACCCATTTCCCCAATTTTACCCACATTTAATATTATGTAGCCATTAAAAATGTGGTTTCCTTCTTAGCTCAAGTTTTCTGTGTAACAGACATTTTATTCTTCCCTACAATATATTAGATAAATAAAATGTCATTTATGCAACAGAAGTAATATTCTACTGAATATATACTACCACTAATAACACCTAATCACTGAAACAGTTTATTTTTAAACCATTTATATGGATTTACATAGGAAATCAAAGAGTTTACTTCTTATTTTTAAGCTAAAGCCACAGCATGAAAGGGTCATTTTCAACGAATAAAAACAAAACTGTGGGCATTGTTATTTTTTTTAAGAGGTCTTTGATTTATTATATTGGCTGCTGGGAAAAAAAAA